AAAACCCCAAAACCCCAAAACCCCAAAACCCCAAAACCCCAAAACCCCTGAAGGACTGACGATATTGAAAATATTTACATTAAATAATTAGTCTTGAAGTCACTCCTTGACTTAAGCTCATCAGGGATTAATGTATTCTTTATGTAAGACTTAGAAAGCACATCTTTGGGGTAATCCTTCGCTTCTTGCTTCAAGTTCCACTCGAATAGCTGTCTGTCTAGCCTGTCAAGCTCTTTTTGAGGATCAATACCCAGCTCAAGCCTCTCGCCTAAAGGGAGAGTGGCTGCATCCAGTCTTTTCTCACTCCGGCTAGTGTTTACCATATGTCCATAATCAAAATCAAACTTTCAAGGCTTTTGGAGATAGTCTACGTGTGGTGTTCCAACTTCGAAATCATACTTATTTCCGCCAAGAACTTTTCTGGGAGGGAGATTAACCTTTAAATTTGGCTGTTTGTGACAAAAATCTATCTTATCACTCATTAAATTTTGATAAATATATTTATGCCTGATATTTGTGTTATACTTCTGCTGGCGTAACTGTTCTTTACATTTATCAATCTCATCCATCAGGTCATTGTACTCAATATCGGCTTTGACGCCTTCATTCTTTAGTCTATTAAGTTCTTGCTGAATGTCATTTTCCTTCTCGAAAATCTGCTTATCGATCTCTCCAATGTCTAATTTGACTTGTGCATTGAGTTTATGAGCAATATTGTCACTGAGAAGGACATCATCATCAATAGTGAGGTATTTCTCACGCTCATGCATTCTTTCCATGGTCTCTTTCCAGACTTTCTTGTCTTCAGCAAACCGTCTTTGCCACATTCCCAAGAATTTGTTAGTTTTATCATGGGCGGAGTCTTGAAATTCTTTCTCTAATTTCTCAATTTCTTCTCGGTATTTTCCCTCTATGCGTTCTCTGTCTTTACGCTTTTCTAGTTCCATCTGTGCCATTGACATTTGCCTGTTATTATCCTCTTCAACTCTTTTTAATCGTTCTTTATAAAGATCAGTCACCAAGTTCTGAGTCTGGACATATAGAGGATGAAGCTCCTGGTCGATATACTCTAAATTAGGCTTCACGAAGATATCGTTGTGATGTGCAGCTTGATGAGAGATTTTAGGGAATTTAGGAGGAAAAGACATGTCAACTTCAGGTAATGGGATCTGCTCTTTTCGGGGGATTTCTAGCACATTTAGACCATTTGCATCTCTTTTTGGCTGAATATCTGTTATTTTAACATTATTAGGAAAATTATGAGGCATGGTTGTCGGTGGGACCATCGGATACTCATCATTATCCCGAAACGGAGGCTTTGGATCTGACATAAATCCGCTTCGACTCGGAGGTGCTCCAAAGGGTAGAGGGTTCATCCCTGTGGGCTCAGTGGCCCCTAGACCTCCAGGTTCTCTCCTTCTCGCTTCTGCTGAAGAAATGGGTTGCATTCAATTATTATAAATAAATAAGGGGTTTTGGGGTTTTGGGGTTTTGGGG